GGACTGTACCTTCTGACTTACTCACCTTCCCTGAGGCCAGTCTCTAGTACAGTCACAATGGGGATTGTGTTGCACTGTGTGAGTTTGGGCAATCACTGTAGTGGGTACTGATCATTCCTGAAATGGTGCCTAATCATACTTCTGCCATGAAAACCCAGTAACTTGATATACTTAAATCCATTGCTCTGTTCTAAGTAGCTGGATTTCTTTGATAGCTGTTACTCAGGCGTGACAATCCTAGCATTTGGAAGGCTGAGGCAAGAAGATCTCCATCTCTAAGTTGGAGGCCAACCTGAGCTACCAAAGCAAGACCCTGTCTTAAGGGTGGTGGGGAGGGCTTAACAAACGACAGTTGCTTATAGATCTTCACTTGTAAAAGCCTGATCAGTTGTTTTTAAATTTTCCCCTCTCACGTACTATATGTTGACTGCAGCTCCGTCCCAAACCCGCTCCTCCTTTGTTCCCTTCAGAAGGAAAGGGCAGACCTCCGAGGGATAAAAACCAAACATGGCATATCAAGTTATAATAGAGCTAGGCACATCACCTCATATCAAAGCTGGATGAGGCAACCCAGTAGGAAGAAATGGGTCCCAAAAGCAACCAAAAGAGTCAGAGAAAGAGCCCACTCCCACTTTTGGTAGGCCCACAGGAAGCCCAAACTACACAACCATAATGTATATGCAGAGGACATAGGTTAGACCTATTCAGGCTCCCTGATTGTTGGTTCAATCTCTGCCAGCCCCTTTGAGCCCTGGTTAGACGATTCTGTGGGTGGTTTTCATGTGTCATTGACCCTCACTGTCCTCTGTAGGATTCCCAGAACTGCTCACGCTGTTCCCCTTCCTATCCATATCCGGGCCCAGATCTTAAGTGTACACGCCCACACTCTGGATATTCTGTGTCTCCAGCTCCTCCCAGTGCAGCTGCCTGCTGGCCTCCACAGCTGACCCATAGCGTGGGACTTTCTTCCTCTTTTTCTGTGTCCTTCCCCTCAGCCGTTGCTGAGACTTAGAGCTTGCCTGCTCTATGTTGTCTTTTTTCTCACATTCTTAACATATTGGTGCCTACGAGTAAAACAACAAAAATTCCCCATTAGTCATCAAGTCTTTTATATAGGAATGGGAGTAATGGCTGGCAGCCTTTACTAATTCCGAGAGATTATGAAACATTGAATGTTATTTCATTGTGGGAGTTGAAAGCTGCTGATGGTGAACTGTTAATTATATTGATGGTGATGGTTAAGTGTGCAGCTCATCTACCTCACTACCTTTCTGGTATGTTTATCTGTAGAAATCCCGTACTGGGTTTCCAAACATTTACCTCTTGTTACTGGCACAAGTGAATCGCCTTTTATTGCCCCCGAACCAGGGCTTCTGTTGCCAGCCAGTTTTTCTGACTTACAGTGCCTATCAGTCTAAGGGTGGAACAAGGTCTGAACCTACCATTTAAAATAATATGCAGCTTGATGTTTGATTAGACATAAATAGAATTTCCCTTTCTCCCCCACTTTCATTCCTTCCCATTTTCTATCTAAATCCCAGGACATTGTGCAAAAACCCATGTCCATAGAACAAGAGTAAGCAAGAAGTTTGTTCTGTGGGAGGGATCTGGTGGGTTGTGCTTCCATGAGCTAGCCCATCCTCCTGTTCCCCATTACATGCACACTCCTGGGAGAACTTATCCCAGAGCGCAGAGTCCAATTAGGCCAGTCTACTCTCAGGCTAGTTGAAGTTGTGAATCTGAACTGGTAGTGCTGTCCTGTGTGTCTGTGTGGCTCTTGCTCGTAGCTTGTATGCTTCACACACACTCCGACCTATTTGACGTGTCTGTCTAGTGATATGTCAGTGGTGAAGCTCCCTTGCACTTGTGTTTTCTTACATGCCGAGTGCACAGGAGAGTGAGCTCCGAACACGTGTGACATTACACAATCCTGTGGAGCAGACGCAGCACAACTCTAGAGCCTAACCAATCTTTTTTCCTAACTCTGACCATCTGCCTAATCTGCTTTCTGCTGTTACAACAGAGCCCCACGCACTAGGCAAATCATAAATGATAGTTGTTTATTGAGGGCGTAGTTGTGGAGGACTGAGGTACCAATACCCAGTGAGGGCCTTTGCTGTGGCATTATGGAATGGGAGGGCAAGCATGGGGAGGGACAGGCAAATCTACCCTTGTGATACTTCACCTATTCCCTCCATGCTGACAGTAACTCATTTCTTAATGTTTCCTAATCACTTCCTTATATTAAGAATTCAAGTACATAGCCTGGCGTTGGTGGCGCACGCCTTTAATCCCAGCACTTGGGAGGCAGAGGCCGGCAGATCTCTGTGAGTTCGAGGCCAGCCTGGTCTACAAGAGCTAGTTCCAGGACAGCCTCCAAAGCCACAGAGAAACCCTGTCTCGAAACCCCCCCCAAAAAAAAAAGAATTCAAGTACATAACTACATGAGCTTTGGAGGGAACATTTAAACAGTTCTGACCATTATATCAGTTATTTAATTCATGAACTTCCTGTGACATCGCCCAACTCCTTGGTGATATTTGGGGAAAGATCATAATTTAGGTATTGAGTATTAAAACTAGGACCTTACATGTGCTTGACAGTGAGTTACAACCTCCACTTCTGGGCAGTTTCTTTGTGTAGTCTGTCTTAGTTGGGGCTTCTATTACTGTGATAAACACCATGACCAAAAGCCACTTGGGGAGGAAAGGGGTTATTTCTGCTTATAGCTTGTAGTCATCATCTGGGGAAGTCAGGGCAGAGATGTGGAGGCAGGAGCTGATGCAGAGGCCATGGAAGGGAGCTGCTTACTGGCTGCTCCCTGCGGCTTGCACAGCCTACATTCTTATGGAACTCAGGACCCCCAGCTCAAGGGTGGCACTGCCCATAGTGAGTGGGCCCTCCCACATCAGTTATGGAGAAAATGTAACAGACTTGCCCACTGGCCGATTTGGTGGGGACATTTTCTTAGTTGAGGTTCCCTCTTCCTAAATACCTCTAGCTTGTGTCAAGTTAACATAAAACTAGTCAGAACATTTTCCTTATGTAATCATCATGTCTCATTAATAAATACTAATGTGGCTTTTGGAAATGGAGTGTTCCGAGGCAGTTTCTGGTCAACTGGTCCTTCACTTCTTACTTATGGACATTCAGCCATGAATCGAATGCCCCTTTCTCCTTTCTGACTGCTCCACGTTTTAACAACCATTTCTGTGTTTTCCAAACTTGTATGAACATTAGAGTAATCTATGAAGCTTCAAAATGAGTAAGCATAGCCAGGTGTGGTGATGTATAACTTTAATCCCAGCACTCTGGAGGTAGAGGCAGGTGGATCTCTGAGTTTGAGGGCAGCTTGGTCTACATGAGTTCCAGGACAAGCAGAGCTACATAATGAGACCTTGTCTCAAAAAAAAAAATAAATAAAATCACACGAATAAAAAAAATGAATAAACACAGCTCCTAGATTGACTTGGGGTTTGTGGGACAAACTCCTGAGAATCTTAGTTTCTGAAAACTCCCCAGCAGATTTGATGAATGGTCAGTTTGAGTGAATCCATAGTGATGTGATGCTCATTAGTGACTGCTAGCTAGGAGGAGACTGGTGCATGGCTGCTATTGGCTGCGCCAAATGCTGCCTTCTGAATGTTGGTCTGACACTGACACATTTTTTACATTGTTGTCACTGGCAGTACAATTTGGGAGGAAGAGAGTATGGAAAGTCCTTATATCTAAGCCTTTGACAAGTGTTGTCGTCTTCAGCTTTTTGTTTTGACAGAGTCTCTCTGTGTAGCCTTAGCTGGTCTGGAGCTTGCTGTGTAGACCAGGCTGGCCTTGAACACACAGAGATCTACCTGTCTCTGCCTCTCCAGTGGGCTTAAAGGTGTGGGAGTCATCACCTCCAGCAATGCTGGGAGATTCTTACAGAGTACCAGGATTGCTTTTTCATTTCTAAAAGTCTATGTAGCCCAGGCTCTCTCAGACTCGCTGAATAGTAAACGGCAACCTTCAATTTCTGATCCCCCTGCTTCCACTTCTAAGTGTTTAGATCATAGGTGTGTAACACAACACCACGCCTGGTTTTACATGTGTGCAACACGACACCACACCTGGTTTTATGTGGTGCTGGGGATTAAGCCTGGGACTTTATAGCTGTCCTTTTCGAATGACGGCGTGAAGGAAACTGGCAGGAAACACTGGTGTCATGACTGTCTCTACCTCGTTTCTCAGGTGTTCTGTTCTTAATGCTTCAGGACAAGCCTGCTTTGGTTTAGTTGACTGATCCTTTATTGGGTGATGTTTCCTCTTTAATGAATTTGATGTAAAACTGTCATCTTCTAGAAATCTTGAACTTACACTGTTGATTCACAGGCTTTATTTTTCGATCATGCACTGACAGAATTTTTACAGGTTTCTGTGACATTTTTTGTAAACTGCTCAGCAAGGTGGTCTTGACCGGGCATTTTCACTGTGGCCCAGTTCACTCCTGCTGCTTAACACCTTTTCATTCTGACCTGATGACTCACCCTGAGTAGAACTGAGGTACGGTGTGTCCACTCATTAGTCAAGTGTATTTCTTTTCCACAAAAATACTCTCAAAATTGATCTTCATACAGTAAGAACTCTTACTTAGTTCCAATCTTGTATATATTTGTATGGAAGGTTGGCATTGAAGCCTGGAGTCTTACCATGGAACCCAGGCTAGCCTTGAACTTGCCATCTACCTGCTTCAGTCCCCCAAGAGCATATGTGCAACCATACCCAGCATCAGTTTAATATTAATGCTGGGTTTGAAATTCCATGAAAGTAGAAACTTGTCTTCCTGTATGATCCTAGAATCTATCCTCATGCCTCACACATCATAAGGCCTTGTGTTTGATGTGTGAGTGCACACTACAGTATGCATACTGCTTTGTAATAGACCTTACAGTTTATTGTAATGTTTTCTGAGTTAAAGCAGTGTAATAATTTTTCTCAATGTTTTTGTCTCAATGTTTCTTTAGGTTGGTATTTTGTATGGCATCTATTTTTATCCAAATTCAAGTTTCTACGGGAACTGGTGGGAGACACAGGATCCCAGGAAGGAGATCTTGAGCCTTCTGGGTCTGAAACAGAAGAGGACCCTTCAGCTTCACCACACAGGATCAGATCTGCTCGCCAGAGAAGGGTGCCTACTGATGAAGGCCACTGACCAGATACCCGCCCTGCTAGAATATGGTCTACAGCAGTTATGAGTCTGTCTTTAGGGACCTGACTTTGAAAGTTACTGTGACTGAGGAACATTTGCAACTGGATTTCTGTCCAGTTCAAAAAAAGATTTACATGTAAGCCATAGAGAAATAAAGGGAATTTAAACCAAATTGGACTGTTACAGATTTCATCTTGGATATTTTGCTTCACTGGGTCTACTTAACGCTCTTAACTCTTTTTGGCTTTTTTTTTTTTTTTTTTTTTTTTTGCACTGGTGTAAATCTGTAAACATTTCAGGCTTGAAAAAACATGATGATATTAGTCATAAAATGTACCCTTTTCTTGATATTTTAACTTGTCATAAATCGGGACGTATCTCATTACTGTCAACCAGGTGATAGTCTTGTCATTATCCTAGCTTGTGCATATGTGAATTTGCAGCTTGTTATAGTGTCATTACCTCAGCTGATGTGTATATTGTTGGTATCAAATATATCAGGTTTAATTGGCATTTTTAAAATGTCTTCAAAGTTCCATGAATCAGCATTGAATGGAAGGTTATTGCATATGCAGAAAGCCATGGAGACAGCAGTGGAGCATGTTTGATATCAGTGATGCCAACATTTGCTGCTGGAGAAATGATCACAAGTCAATGTTTCCTTGCAAAGAAACAACAAAATGCTTTTACAGGACTTAAGAAAGGAAGATACCCACACATTGATGAAGATATGCTACATTTTGTCAGTGAGACACTTGCAAAACAGTTGCCTGTCTTCACGTCAAGGAGTTGTAGTTGAAGGCCAGAGAAATTGCCAAAATTCTCAGAAATGATCTAAGAAAATTCAAAGCAAGAAGAGACTGGTATGGCCACTTCATGGAGAGGACTGCTATTAAGACATCAGGTGTTCTCTCCAGAGCTGCCTGCTGCTATTAGACAGAAGGCAGTGGTAAGCATCCCATCGGGAAATGCCACATCGGCAGGCCTTTTGACACCTGTGTGGGAAAGCAGATCTAATGACTAATTTGAAGTGTTTTGGAAGAAGGGACTTGGAATGTGAAGATACAGTTATAACTTGCCAGTTTATTTCACACGCTCTTTACATAGGCACAAGATTTATGTGATAAAACTATTTTAGAACACAGGATAAATACAAACTAAAACATTTTTCTGTGATACAAGGCATATGTCCTAGCTTAATGGGCAGTGTCTTTTCTTAGACCTATATATGGTGCATCTTAACAATTGATGGTCACCTAGATTAAGTAAAAGAGAAAATTTGTAAATTTCAAGATAGCATTTATTTATTGGAGAACATAATTATAAGTCTACAGTGTTAACAGTTATTTTCTATGAAATACTTTTGGGGTAAACCTATTGGGGGCTTTAGAGGTATAGTTATGAATCTAAGAACTGTCTTCTCCTTTAGGGAGAGTGAGATTGGTCCCCCCTTTATATGGGGACTGTATGTTCTGGACTTGTGGAGAAAATACTTCAGACCTCAAAGAGTATTAGGGCTTGAAACAGTAGTGGTTGAAAAAACCTGCTTACCTGTGTAAAATGCCTCTTGCCAGGAGTCCATGTTTGTTTTAACTGAACTTTGGACTGTTTACTAAAGAGAGATGAATTAATAAACTTTCTAGTGTTGTCTGCTCTAGACAGAAATGAACTGCAAAGCCAAGTTCCTTTCCTGGTTCCTGTCCTTCATGGCTGTGTTTAATCTTGTTTGATACCTCATTCTTCATACTGGCAGATTTTGTCTATTAATTGTCTACTGGCACTGCCCCAAGTTCAGTTCCTTAAGAACTGTTCCTAGATATCCTAGCCCTTTGGGTACACTGGAAGAAAAGTTTAGAGGAAAACTTTCATGTATACGTTTTCTGGGGAAGATGCCCAACAGCTGAGAGTGGGCATCTGTTCTGTTCTTTATAGGGCATACTGTGACCAGAAGGCATAAAGAGCAGTGACATTGTTTCTAGCATTGATTTTTAATAATTCTTATACTAACTAAATATCACTAAATGGGTTAAGATGCCCTAAGGCATCTTGTTACCCGGAGGTTGTTTACATTAGATTTTTTTTCATAATCTAATGTCTTGAGCTCCAGGTTTTTGCTTTTTGCTTATGTTTTGCGGTGGGTATCTAAGGTTTATATAGCAATAGGAATAACTTAAAGCTGCAGGTGAGCTCTCTGTTGTGTCAGTATTAAAGAATGGTGGCTGATGTCATCACCCCCGACCCGTCCAATCTGAACTAAGCCCAAACTAGTCTCTGTAAAGATACATATAGGACATTATTTATTGGTATTTATGTTTCCAGTGTATCTTATGAAACTTTAACAAAAACTGGTTGACCTGAGAAATAATTCCTTATTGTGTAACAGCTCATACTTGGCGTGTTTTAACTTAAAAAAAGTAAAGACATTTTGGATGCCAGTATGAACTAAGGCATAGTGTTTTGTGTAAAATTGCCTTCATGGATCTCCTTTACTCCACTGAGAGAGAAGAGAAACCATTGTCCCTCCAGGATTCCTCACATGCTGTGGGTTTCTATCCTGTTTCCTGGTGAAGCGCTTTTATAGCTCTTATAACTGTCACACCTGCATACTCGGGTTGTCAGTGCAAGTGGTGTGTCTAACTTCAAAGTTTAAAAGACACAACATACAAATACTAGAGTCTTGCCTGATGACATCATCTGTTTGAGAGTCGATTAGAAACTTGAGGACTCAGGTAGATCGTTGCAGTTCCTTCATAGCCAGCCCTTCCCAAATCTGTGGTTTGTCTCTGAAGGGGTGTGTGTGTGTGTGTGTGTGTGTGTGTGTGTGTGTGTGTGTGTGTGTGTTTGCACATTGCCCATGTGGTGGCATAGCTCAAATTTAAATGCCAAAACACTAAAGATTTGTATAAAAGTTAGCTGAGGTGTTAAACACATACCTGAAGATAGATTTTGAACTGAATGGCCTCTCACAGTGGAAGTAGATACTGGATGGCTATTTCAGGGACATCTTGGCCTCTTTGCTTAGATTAGACTTCACCATTTCAAAATGGTATTTTGCTAAAAGTTGAGAATATGTATGAGCTGGTATCTAGAACATGATGGAAAGCAGTATATGTTTCATGTTAAGAGGAATGATGTTTGAATTTATTTTGAGTCTACAGTGCAATCTTTTTTTAAAGTCAGTTTTCCTGAGATGGTGTCTGAGTATGACTGGTAACCAGTATAATTGCAGATCTTGACTGGTAAACTAAGTGCTTTTATATTTGAAGTTGACTTCATAAAGCCAATGAGCAGTCCTTTGAGCTTGGAAAAGCTCAGGCAACTGTAGAATGGTGTTGGGTTATAGAATCTAGACTCAAAATACCTTGTATTGTCTGCTGTTAAAGTGTCCTGGAGTTAGAAACTTCTAACAAGTTACATTTTTACCCTGTGTAAGTAGAAGCTGCATCTCCATTTGTCAGAGCACATGCTACCTGTTGAGGACTGTCTGGCATTAACCTCCATGCCAGTTCTATGCATAACCATCACCAAATACTGCTGATGTGGTTTCTTACAGGAGCCCTTCTGTCCTGTGCTATGATGCATTGTCACCTTGTTGCTTGACAAATACATTGTAAGGAATTAGAACTGTGTGTGTTAATAGTACCTTTACATAAATAACAAGATGTAAAATACAGATGAGGGATATGCAAATGAGTGATGTTCCTGTCTTAGAATATCTAAAGCTTCTTGCACAGAATAAAGGAAAATGAAAATAAGCGAGTGTATGTCTCATTGATTAAGGATAATGAGTGCAGTGGGTACTTTGGATATGATGGGATTCTAAAGGTGTCTTTTTTTTTTAATGGTCCACACTTCAGCACTCCACTAACTTTAAAAAAGTCTTAAGAATTGGGAGGAACCAGGCAGTGGTGTCTCATGCCTTTAATCCAAGCACTTGGGAGGCAGAGGCAAGCAGATCTCTGTGAGTTTGAGGCCAGCCTGGTCTACAAGAGCTAGTTCCAGGACAGCCCCCAAAACAATACAGAGAAACCCTGTCTCAAAACCAAAAAAAAAAAAATAGAATTGGGAGGATAGTAATAGCATCCACCATGCTAGGAAATTAATCAACAGAGAGCCTGAAAGACACATAGCCCAGCTCTGTTGATGTACTTAATCATACTGAACCTTCCATCACCCAACAGCCTCAAAAACTTGCTAATTTGCTTACTGTATACCTTGTTTCACTTTTAACACCAACAACCAGGAAGACCAAGGGAATTGAATACTGCAAGTCCAGGGAGAACCTGTTGGAGGTAGAAACCATGGGTTCCAGTGTGTGAGCCGATGTTTCTCTTCAGTGCTCAGGTGCCAGAATAGAGGACAGGAAAAGGAGCTTTGCTAGGTCTTGGCTTTGTAAGATAGGTCTGTCTGAGAGATTGCTGGAGCTTGGTCTGGGATCTGGGCTGGTTAGGAGAATCAGTTCTGGTGCCAAAGGCTTGGCACAGTGGGCAGCACTAAAAGGAGAAATGGAACAAAGTGTTCTGGAGGAACTATGAGACTCTTCTTGCTCTACCTGCACCACTGAGGTCCAAGGCATAAAGATGATGCTGTTTATGAAGGACTCGGAGAGGAGGCACTAGCTACAGTCGTTTTCCAGGTAGTAGACAAGAGGATTTCCGATAAAAGAATACGTAATGAAAGGTCCTTGTGAAGCTGTGTGTAGATAGTTGTTTCTGAAATTGGAAATGCAAATGGTTTTGAGGATAGAGATGTGTGAAGCATCTAGACCACAAAGGACTTTGTATGCAATGATGTACAAGCCATATGTGATAGTATTTTTTAAAATATTTATTTATTATGTACACAGTATTCTGTCTGCATGTATCCCTGCAGGCCAAAAGAGGGCGCCAGATTTCATTACAGTTGGTTATGAGCCATCATGTGGTTTCTGGGAATTGAACTCAGGACCTCTGGAAGAGCAGCCAGTGCTCTTAACCCCTGAGCCGTTTCTCCAGCCCCTGCAATATTTCTGATAGCTGCTTCTTGAATATAGTCTAGGCTGACCTCAAGTTACCATCCCCCTGCCTCAGCCTTGTGCAGTTATCACAGTCTTGTAGGCTTGAGATATTTCACAAATGAGAATACAGATTGACGTTCTTGAATGACCATTCTTCCAGGTACCTGGACTGGGTGCAGATGGCTTAGAAAGACCATGCTACTTATGAGGACAGATTTGCCATATTATAAACTGGATGTCCCTTTCACTGGCCTAGGCAGAGACATCATGACCAATTGGACAGTAGTACTAACCATGGGGCCTTTGGGGCTAAAGAATAAGATGAGATTGGTCTGTGAAGGCAAGGTGGGGGTGCATGATGATGTCAACATTTTAGGTTGGTAGTTGATAACAGTATTCCATGTAGGAATAGGTTTGAGCTTGAATATTAGAAAGTGCAAGTCTAGTTAAGGTTTCTAATAGCATTTGGGAGTGGTTTTTGTTACTTTGGTAGAAATGACAAGCCAGTTGTAAAACTAGTATGAAGTGTGGGAGTTGTAACTTGGTGGTTAGGAGTATGTGGATACAGTTGAAGTGATAAGTAAAGGTTATGACAGTCTTCCTCCCCCAGGAAAGAACTGGAAAAGTAGCCCAACAGCATAACTATGGTTTGACTGTTTTTGTCCCATTGACAATTTGTTTCAAGAGTAGCCCCCAGAGCCATAGTGTTGGGTGATGAGGCCTTTAGGGAGATCTGGAACTGGGGGATTCTGCCTTCATGAATGGTGTGGGCTTGCTCTGGTTTTGTCATAGATCATGTCAAGGGACATCATCCTAGACTCAGACACCACTCCACCAGTGCCTTGCTGTTTGGGCTTTCACCTCCAGAACTGAGAGAAATAGGTTGTTTGTAAATTACTCAGGCTAGGGTATTCTGTGATAACAGCATAGAAACAGGCCCCTAAAGAATATCACTATTTAAGACATTGGCAAAAAGTCCATCATGGATGCTGAGAAAGACTGATAGAGAAACAGAAACACACCTACAGGAGAGTGATGATGTGCTGGGCACAAAACAGAATGGGAAGAACAAGGGTTGGAGCTGAGTGATAGTGCTGTCTGTTAGGAATTGGTAACCCGAAGCTGGTGCAGTGGTCCATGGGTCAGGAATTGGTAACAGGAAGCTGGTGCAGTGGTTCATGCCTGCAATAAGAATCTGCAAGCCTGGAAAGGGACAGTCAGAAGAACTTTTCATGGGAGTTGATTTGACAGGGTTGGTGATAAGATATAATAGGTGAAGAACACAGAAGCCCCAGTGGGATAGAACATGTTAGAAGAGACAGATTGAGAGTGAGACCAGGTCATGTGACAACAATAAAAATGGCCAACCTAGAGCCTAGGTTGATGTTTTTCTGTCAGCTTAGTGAATGCACATGAATCTACTGATATTTTAATTACCATTGGCAGCCCCAGAGTCCTGCAGTCAATGTCCCACCAGTCGCTCAGGCCACAGGGTTGGCAGGTCTTCTAGTGTTGCAGCCTGACTCTGCAGTGGCCATGGTATGTAGTTTTAAATGAAGTCTCTATCATTTTGTTTATCAATAAGGAGTCAAAGGCTGGGGTGAAAACCTGCTAGCTCAGAGAAGTTGAATAACAACTAGCTGACCTTGCTTTTTTGGCAGGAGACACTGCAAGAGACTTATCTCTTCCCTCATCTCAGAACCAAAAGGAAGCTCAGACTCTGATCCACCCTTTCCTTCCTGTGTATCTTCTCATCCACATTGCTGGCTTCTCTATGGCTAATTCCAGTCAGCTGGCCTCTGGCTCTGCCCCCCTGATTCAGGGTAAACTTTATTTAATTGTTCTTTATTTAACAGTCTCAAAGAGTGTCACAGTGCAATCAAAGTATCCCACGACACTAGGTGAAAAGCTAAGAGAAATGAGATCCTATCCAAATGTTATAACTTGGTACTGTTCCTTGGTCTATTAAATGGGAGAGTTAAGTTGGACTTTTAGAATATTCACTGTATTAATTTATAAACAACCAATAACTGCCCCTCCTATTCATTCATCTTTGTAACTAGAAATCTTCCAAGGACAACTTGCTCCAGGAGTTGCTCAGTTCATTAAAAATGTCAGTTAAGAGGGATTCACAAAACATGCATTCGTTCTATATTATTTCTGAATAATGCCAAGCCATTTCTTCCCCTCCCTTTTTAACCTGATTGCAGATCCTTTGAGTTTCATCTTGTCTTTGCAAAGGTCAGATTTAATTCTCTAATTCAGTCTTGTTATCTCAAGAACTGACCTTTGCAAAGTTTTTTTTTACCATATTATCCATGATATCATAGTATGTGTACATGAATGTGTTTAAGACAGTCTCACTCTGTGTCTTGTGATGGTCTTGGGCTCAGTGCATAACTCAGGCTAGCCTCAGTCTCCCTAGAACTGAGAGTAGAAGTGTGAGCCACTGCATCTGTCTCAGTTTGTGTATTTTAAATTTAACTACTTAGATGGACAGAACTTTTAGCATCTTGCCTTCTTGAAAATTTCCCAGTACATTCAAACAATTTTCCATAGGATCATCATCTCTCTCTTCATATTTGCTGTAGCATTTAGTTGAAAGTGTGTGGTTACAATATCAGAGATAAGTAGAGTATGCATATTCATGTTTGGGAATGAGTTTCATTAAACATAAGACTCATTAGTGAGAACAGAGCTGTGAGCCTACACTGACCCTCTATTCTATTCATGACGGACTTCGGCATCTTGTGTAGACGCCTATGGGAACCTTAGCCTGGGGTCCAGCACATTCTGCGTCTACTCCCACCTTGCCTTTCCTCCTGATATAGGACAGGCACTGCCTGTCTAGATGTGTCTCCCTTCCTCTTTTCCAGCAAGTTGACGCTACCAGTGGCTTCTCACTCCCTGTCAACTGGATCTGTCCCTTTAACACAAATATTCATCAAGTGTACTCTTGAAGGAATGAAGGAAAGGCCTTCTCTTCATGTCACACCCTACTCAGGAGCTGCCTTTGTGGCGTCTCTGGCAGAATGTGGAGGACAATTTTCAGTCCTCAAGTTGACCTGGTATTTCCTGTGCTTGTCCCTTCCTTCCTGGAAATGTGCTTTTCCTTGGCTTATATGGGACAAATTCTGGATTATATTCCTGCTCATCTGGCCCTGCCCCTATCCCATGAACAGCCTAAAGCAGAACCTCACAGCTTATGAGCCTTAGTTATAGCCCGGCTCTTACCCTGTGAGCCTTCTTTGGGGCATTGTACTTGTGCCTTCAAATGTTTTCATCACTGGGACCCTGCTTCTCTCTTGAGCCAACTCTTTTCTTAGTGTCTCCTTTGGCTGTCTTAAAGACTGATTGAGGGACTGGGGAGGTAGGTGTTTGGTTGGTAAGAACATTGCCAAAACATTAGGACCTAGGTTCAGATTCCTAGTACTGGGGCTGGGGCCTTTGGGAGCTGAGAAAGCAGGGGTGTACAGATCAACAAGCATTTGTAATCCTAATGTCCTTGGGAAAGATATTGGTGGATTCCTGGAGTTCATTAAGCTAACTTGCCTAACTAAATCAGTGAGCCCAAGCTTCAGAGAGAGACCCTGTTTAAAAAATAAGAAAGGAAGGCGTGGCTCTGTGCTGATTGCAAACACACACACATACATATACACAAACAAACAAAAAAACAGGTCAAACTCAACATCAAATTTATGTATGGTCCCTAACCAGGTTCTAACCTGGTGTTCTTTTTTTTTCTGTGCCCCTAAATAATTGCTCAGGTCCATAGCCTCAATGTGGCTCTCTATTCCTCCCTGCCTGGTGTCCTAGATCTGACTTCATCCGGCCTTGCCAACTGGATTTCCGAACTAGTTCTGTATCCTTTTCTCCGTGCCATAGTTAAGTACTGTACTATAAGTTAACTACTGTATTATGTGAGCTTGTAGAATAGTGGTTACAGGAGTAGTCTCTGGAACCAGCTTTCTGTACACTTCACTTTCAGTCTGTAAGATGGATTTTATAATGATCGATATAGTTCATGCGGTCTTACAGGGATTACATGAATCAGTAAAGATGAGGTGTTTATCGTGCCCCGTGTATGTTGAGCATTCCCTGTTGTGATGCTCACCTAGACTATGTTAACAGTGTATTGTGCGCTTATGGTCTGTCTCCAGTGGTTTCCCCTCACTCCCACCGGAGTGATCTTTCTGAAGCTCAGTTTTGTCGCCGCCTTGCGTGTAACATGCGCATGGTTGCAATCCTCGACGTGCTCGGTGCCTTTCCATCCGGCTGCATATACGAGCCCCTCCGGCATTAGCTCCTAACCTCCACTTGCTGTTTCTGCAGCCGTGGGAGCCGTCTTGATGCGCAAACTTCCTCCCCACTCCTCACCCTCTAGTCAGTCTCGGTTTCAACTCCAAGCCATGCTCTAGGGGAGGCTGTCTTGAGCATCGAACACCCGTTCCAAACCATTCCTCTGTTACATACACTCAGAAAACAGACTTCCTTCCCTTCAGCAGCCTGGTCTTAGGCAGGGATTCAACATCTGTTGGTGGATGTATTTAGCTAAATGTCACCATCCTCACTATACTGAACCAATAATGTTTCAATACATGGTAGGGCTTATATCAAAATAACACTTCAACCTGCAAGCTGCCGTATCCAGTCTCTTGTTTGAATCCAAGCCTAAAATCTCAGCAGCCAGATTCAGCCTCCGCAGCTCCTGTAAGCACACCATTCTGTATAACCGACGGTCACCAGAGTACGTTAATGGGATGTTCCTTTTGCCAGGCTCTGGTTCCACTTATACTTCTCATCGGAAAAGGTCAAAAGTTCCTGTCCAAAAAAAAACCCAACCCAACCCAACTCAACCCAAACCAAACCAAACAACAACAAAAAACCTAGCAGCTTTTGACCACAAGGTGGCGACAGCTTTTAAGAGTTAGGATTGAGTATAGCTTCTATTCCAGCCGGGGTCAGGAGTATGCTTTGCTGGGTTTTGGAGATAGAAGTTTGGTGATCTACGGCCTCCTATTTGGGGCCATAGGTGTAAGGTTTAATCTGATTTACATAAGGCAGTGAGGGTGAACACGTAAGTCATTAATCAAAGTAGAACAGAGCGGGGTGGGGGGCAGATCATAAGTCTTTGGGCCAGGTCAAAGAGCAGGTCAGCCACCCTCTCCATCTAGAGCAAAGATAAGTCAGGTGGCTGTAATTCCAGTCCTCGTGACTGCCATTGATGAGGGGCTGACACCTGAGAAAAAGGAGCAGTCAAAGATAGCATTTGCATTACGTCTCCCAGGGAAGCGAGAGGATTTCAGAAGATGAACAAGGAAAGGGTGACTGACCCAAAGGCCTGTGTATTTACTAATAAGAACAGATACTATACTTGATCTTAGTCAAAAGGCCAAGAAAACGATAGGCTTGTGTACTTACTTGCAGGAGTATGGGAATAATGCTCTGTGCCAGCCAGTACCTTCAATTTGAAAAAAAAAGTTCTTTTTCCTACATTGTTTTCATGGATCTCCTCCTCCTCCTCCCCCTCTCCCTCCTCCTCCCCTCCTCTTCCTCCTCTTCCTTGAAGTAGGTATGGGAGGCAGGGAAGATATTATCCTCGAGGGAAGAGAAACTGAGGTCCCAGGAGCTCAGCAGTGCACACCATTAATAAGCACCAAACCCTGGGCTCCTCCTGTCTTGTTGCTTAGAGAGGAAAATATTTTCTGTTTTAGAAGCTTCCGGGCCACTTTGTGTCACCCAGCACAAAGAAAACATATTCAGATGCGAACACAAGAGGAGGCCTACGTCTGTGAGCCAGTACAGTGGGATGCACTTACCGTCGTGGCTTCAGGGTGGTGGGATGTACTTACTGTCGTGACACTTTTTTCCTTTGGTTTCATCCCTACCCCCAAGGCAGAGATGCCAGCCTTTGTGTCTTCCATTGCTGCTTTTCCTCCCTCCACAGGGACTCAGCGGGCTTGGGATTAGGGCCACCCCAACTGTGGATTATCCACAGGGTGAAGGATTTGCAGGGGTCTGGGGGACCATTAGGGAGAGTAACACCGTGGTGTGTGAGCAGAGTGGCAGGGTTGGCAGCAGAAGCCTGAACCCTTCATTCATTTGGTTCTGAAGGTGGCAAGACTCTGATGAGGGTGGCTTATAATTTTGGGGGTCTGAACACCAGCTTGTAGTTGGTAGACTGTAGCTCTGTTTCCAGGGAGTGATGCCATTGTCTCTATGGTGTCCTGTCTTCCTTTGGACCACCGGGGCCAGAAATGAACATTGCAGGAAGCTTTCTGGGTTACATCAGCGTCTTTCTGGCTTCTAAGCAGGATAGCATATTTGTCATAATAATTAATACTGAATGCCTCACTCAGTGCTGAGTGTGCCGAGAGTCACATTGAATTAAAATGCATGTAAAGAAATCAAAATTATGAAATCTTTCATGAATGTAAAATTTATTCAAATATATTGGTGATTACAAGTTTGAAAAAGTGTAAGTTCTCCTTCCTACACTAGAAAATGAAATACAGAAAGATTTCCCATCCTACACTAGAGCCCTTCCTATCTCCACATCATCAGCCAATCAGATTTGATCCTTTGCCATTGCTCAGTGTTGTCACACTTACCCCTTGGCCAGTCTGGTCACCTCTCACCTTGGATTCCAGGGCCACTTTTGTCATGCAGGCTTTCCTGGACCCCTGTGACCCTGTAGCCTTCTGGTATCTAGGGTGTCACCTCTCACACACAGAAGGACTGCCAAGTTATGTGTTAAATGTAGTCTCTCCTTTTCCTTATCCGTCGTCAGTGTCTGGGGGACAGGGCTAAGTGTCTGTATTTTCTCCTGGGTGATGTCCACCTTCCCTTTGCCCTCTGCACTAACCCGAATAGTTTCCCTGCAGAATTGACTGGGACCCTGTGGAAGTGATCTTATTTGCAGATATAATCATGCTAAGATGCAGTCACAGGGATGAAGGCTGGCCCTAATCCCTAACCTAATGACTGGTGTGTAAGAGTAGGGAAATTTAGACACAGCGAGCAGCAATGGTGTGAAGGATGCAGAGGTCAGAATGAATCATCTTCACTCAAGAATGACAAGGATTGGCACAGCCACCGGAAGCTAGCACAGAAACACAGGGTGCTCACAGTCTCCCTCCAAGTCTCCAAGAAGGAATCAAGCCTGCCAGTCTCGGGGCTGAGAATGTTACTGTGCTCTAGGAAACCCTCCCTTTTTCCTTCCCCACCATCTGTCATCCTGATTATTTGTATCTCCCTGTCCCTGCACAGCAAGTTATACTTCCTACTAAATGATTTTAATTTCATTGTGGATACATTGTCTTAGTCACTGTTTTATTACTTCCAGGCAGCACCATGACCAAGATAACTTATGAAAGGAAGCATTTAATTGGGGGCTTCCTTATAGTTTCAGAGGGTGAGTCCATGACTGTTATGTCCTGGAGCATGGTGGCAGGCAGGCATGGTACTGGAAAAGTAGCTGAGATTTCACATCTGATCTTCGAGTTGCAGGCAGAGGGTCAGGGATGCAGAGACTAAGACTGGACCTGGTATGGGCATTTGGAACCTCAAAGCCCATCCCCAGAGGAACAACTCCTCCAGCAAGGCCATACCCCATAATCAGACATAGGGCCCAGAAACTCTTGAGCTGAATGTCTTCTCTCTAAGCACCAACTTCCATAGTACCAGAAGGCACCATTCAGGCTTCCAAAGGAGGGAGGCAACCAGCGGTCCTACCCAGCTGTGAGGCTTATGAACCACAGTAACGGCCAGCATGGCATGAAAACCGTAAGACTAGAGGAGTGTCACACACTTGTTGGCTGTAACCAACAGCTCTCTTATTGTCCTTAAATTCTGCTCAACAAAAGGTAAACCATGTCTGGTACTGGAAACCTAACCAGCTATCCAGGACTAGTGAAATCATGGATCTTGGAAGAAAACCTACAGTCAACACTTTACTAAACTAGCACAATCCTTAACTACATCCAAAATATTTGACTTTATCCCCTCAGTTAAGTATAATCCTCATCTCTCATGAAGGAAATGCCTTTTTGTAACAGACAAAGACCATTACAGAAAACCACAAGCCAATAAAACGCAGAGTTGAAGAGCCCAGTCCCAGTGTGATATCACTATACAAATTAACTCTCCTGCACACAAGGCTCAGGGGACAATGTAGAAGAGGGTGTGTGAGGGTTGTAAAAGTCAGAAAGTCTGGAAGTTTACTGTGAGACTGTGTCTCCTAGGAACATCAGAAGCTACACCTATAAAGTCTCACCAACATGACTGCCTAAACATGAGCTGAACAAGAACTACACCAATAGATAGACAAAAGTGACACAGGGAATGAGGCTTCAACTCTACACAAAGATCTACAGGCAACCAAGGAGTGCCGAGAAGAGGAGAAATAGTCTTCCCTGGGGAGGAGCACATCCATTGGTTATCCCATGCCAAATGCCCTGCCCTGGAAACACAAGTAACATGCAGACTGAACATGTTGTGTTTAAGAATACATATGAATATACATTTATGCATGGAACAACAATTGATGAAGGAAAGAGGCCATGACTTTGAAAGAGAGCCAGGAGGGGTCAGAGAACCACAGATAAGCAGGAGTTACAAGGCCTTTGTTTCCCCTAACTGGCAGCTGGCTCCTGCTTGCCTCACTTCACCATATAGTTGAAAAGTGACAGGCAGTTCACCATACGACTGAGCCCACTATCAGGGAAGGAGGGACTTTCAAGGCCCAGGACATAAATTAGATAAAGATGTGAATCCACAAACAACAGGATGGGGACTCTGTGAAGGGAACAATTCTAGACACTGGGGAGACTGAACCTCCTTGAAGAACTCAGCCAATGAGGAGTTCTGGTTGGGAGGCAGGGAAATGTGATTAGGAAAAAAAATCACTCCTTTGTGCCAAATCAGCTGCTAATCATTTTGCAAAGGGGTCATAGGAGTGTGGGAAAGCCCCATAGGATTGCCTATTTTCCAGGGCATTTAGAGGGCAATTGGAGGGGATTAGCACGAGAGACACAGAGTAAGATGGTCAGAATGGCTGGAGGTGGTAACTAGTGTGCAAAACTATGAAGGTAAAGAGCTTTACAGGTTGAAATCTTGGAGATCACAAGATCCAGAAAGCAAGCCTACTGTATGATAATAATTTTCAGGTCTTGAATGTGTGACTAGAAGTTTGAGCTGTGTTTCTGAAAGTGTCTTGCGTTTTGGGAATAAAAACTGCAGTCTAACATGTTCTACATGTATTTACAACTTGGTATTGTAAATCCTGTCATGTAGCTTTAGAATGTTAGTTAGTAGACAACTAGAGACATCCATGTTGGAAAGGGAAGCAGACTGCCTTCCTTTGTAGAAAATACAGTTACATGTCAGAAAACCTCCAAAGAATCAGTGGGAAAACAATACAAAGATAAGAAAGTAAGGCAATGCTACACTAAATTAACACATCGAAATGATACATTAAGTAGTTTGAAAAGGTCATGTGTACCATGCACACATCTAGATGTAAATCTAATAATATGCAAAAGGTAGGAAAACTGTAAGACATTTTTGACATGCTTAACAATATTTTCAAACAACTGGGGAGTGTTCTCTGCTCCACCTTCCTTGATCTTTTGAGAAAAGGTCTCATGTAGCCAAGCCTGGTTTTGAACTTGTCATGTGGCTGAGGATGACCTTGAACTTCTGACCCTCCTGTCTCAGCCTCCCCTGTCCTGGGATTACCCAGATGTGTCATTGTACCTGGCTTGTATACTTTGCTACTGAATAGGAAAACTTTGACATCATAGTAATGTTATTTTGTCCTACATTGCACCTCTCAGCTATAAACCTCATATTTTTCTTCCCTGGAAAGAGATGTGTTGATTTAAAAGTTTATATGAAAGAATAAGCACACAAGAAAAACCAGGAAATACTTGGAAAGACCACACTGTCATGCATGGCTAACCCTGTTATGTTTTAGCAAAAACGCCACAAATCCTCCAGATTAGAGCAGCTAGATACAGCCTGAAGAGAAGACTCTGGATCAGCTCTGGATCAGTGCATTAGTGTGATCCCCAGCAAAGTCAACTCTGATGTCAGAGAGGAAGTCCTGACTTCTAAACCATGCTGTAGCAACTGGGCTGCTGGCTTTTTAAAATACTTATTTATTTTATAGATATACATATAGAGCCTGCATTCCAGAAGAGGAGAGCATCAGATCTCATTATAGATGGTTGTGAGCCACCATGTGGTTGCTGGGAATTGAACTCCGGACCTCTAGAACAGCAGCCAGTGCTCTTAACCAATGAGCCATCTCTCCAGCCGCAACTGGGTTGCTGTAAGGAGAAGGTTAAAACTGGGTTTTAAGAAGAGTTTAAACTCAAGGATAAATCACAAATGCATTACAGAT